CTGAGGTATGGATATGTAAACATAAATACATGTATTTGTACATAAAGATATATATCAAATATGTTGGAGTCTCATTTGGAGTTGCTCCTGTCTGTGTGCAGGTAGGTGATGAACAACTGACTTCAGCTTTTACTCTTTATATTCCTCCTACAAAGCATGACTTCTTTCACAACACCTTTTCAAAAACGATTATTATTTTTGAGAAAGTCTTTAGGTGAGTGGCAAAATTCAAATCAGACCAGTGTGGTGCCTGTTGCAGTGTCTCATTTTATGAACTGAGCCGTGGTGCAGGGATGAGCTGCAGCTGCAGCTCCTGGGAGTGGGAAGGAAGAAGGCAGACATTGGAATCCAGGCAGAGTGTTCCCCAGATCAGCGAATGAGAAGGAAGAAATTATTTCACCCAGGTGTTAAATGCTTGTATTCTTCACTTGGTGGAGTACAACTACTAAAGGTCTCTCGGTGTCCCCATAAATCAAAGATACATTAATGTCTCTGAAGCCCATTTAAGTATATACATTAATTCTATGCTGGGAACACTGCACTGTTGATATTTTCCTTCTGCTCTGGTTGTGCTGCCATCCCATGGTGGCTGTCACCACCTGTCTAGGAGCATCTAGTTTAGTATTAGTACATTACAGCTAGTGACTGTCTTAATGATTTTGAAATTACGTATTGATTTGCTTCTTAATGCTTTCCTCCCACACACTTTCTCCTCATTGGCATTCCTAGATGACTACCTCAGTTCACCAGCCTTTTTTGTTCAGCATTTTCATAATCTTTTCAGACAGGTCAAATTAGTGGCCACAAACCTTTTGCTAAATGACAACCCTTTAAATCTTGTGAATGAGATGTCTTGTTCAGAGGGTAAGGAAGTTGGTCAGGGGGTGGGATTGTGCACACTCTGAGGGTGACTTCTGAGATAACAAAAGGATTGGCATCAAGAAGTGTCTTAAGTCTTCATTTGCTTTTGGAAGTACTAATGTGGATTCTCAAGGACAGTATTTGAGCATCTCTCACATACCCTGCTTTCTTCATTCTTGATACCTGTCATAGGAAGAAAGCTATGGGGTTTTACTGCTCTGACTTTCACTTTTAAACAGATACGTATAAAAACACAATAAATCTACAGCTGGGAGAGCAATGACACAAAAGCTGGTTTGTATTTATGTATAAATTTGTGGTTGCTATTATCTTACTGTCAAAATACACAGCCCAAGTATTTTAAAATGAGATATGTAGATAATTCATTACCTATATTTTCCATTTATGTATTTTAGTGTGTGTCTGATAGTTAATAGCAACCTGGATTTATGTGACTGAAGCAATGAACTGTGAACAGTTGTAAAATGCTGTTGTTTGAGCATGAGTAGCATTATGCCCCAGATTTAAAAGGAAACTGACACTGTGGAAAGTTACTACCCTGTTCCCAACCTCTTATGAGGGATTGCACTTGGATGCTGCACCCTTTTCTATGCAAAGTCAAGTTTTGTGGTAACTTAAGCAGAAGCCACCAGGTGTGGAGTCATCTTCAATTATTTAGCTGTGCAAAAACCCTTCTCTTGTCTTTAGTCTGCAGTGATGACAGAAGCCCAGTACTTTCAATGTTTACTTCTTGCCCAAAGTGTCTGTAATGAAGACCTGGGCACTCCATCAGTGGATCCATCAGGGAATGCTGAGCCCTGCTCACTGCTGAGCCCATTGCAGTGAAGAAAGTAGAATTGGGGATCTTGCCTTACGGGGGCATGGGTTTGGGCATGGGATGGAGTGGGTCATGACCTCCTGAGCTGTTGCCAGAAAACAAAGAGTGTGCTTTCTTTCTGTGCTGTAACAAAATCCCATCTAGACTGTATTCCATCCTGGGTGGTGGTGCTTTCTTGCCAGAAAATCAGTAGTTTCTTTTGTGACTTCTTTGGTACCTTTAAGTACTCACAACAAATAAAGAGAAGTTCTACTAGTTGAAAGAGATATAGTGTAGGCATTTCTCCAGCATGTCCCTACCACCTCTGAACAAGACCTCTGGTAGAATAAAACAAGCATAACAACAACAAAAGCCCATTTCCATGGGACCTGCATGTTTTGTATGTTAAAACCTCCTGCTTGCAAAAACCCCAGTCCTGCTTGTAACAGTTATTCCTGAGGGATGTTTGTGATGAGTACAGGAGCCTTGTTCACCCATCTGGAATGACAGTCTTGCTCTCTGAAGTGCACTCACTGCAGCTGCACAAGGAGAAAGCCTGTGCTGATTCTGATGAGCAACTTTTATTGTGTTAAATGTGGCAACATTTAAGCTTGAACTCTGCTATAAAAATGAGTGGCTGTTTTAGGATTCAGGAAGAGGTGAATGGGGAAGAAAACACGTGGAGCTGTTCTGTCTGGTTGTGACAGATGTTTGGTGCTTGTTTGCTCAGCTCAGGTTTATGAGGCACAAACGTGCATAAAGCTCATCTTAGAGGAAGATAAGTTAGAGAGGCAGAAGGCTTTCTGTGTCCTACTTCATCCTTTGCTTTGTATTCCTGTGTACTTTGTACTGATCCTTGTATCTTGAAAAGCAGGTGTGTTAAGGATAATAACTTAGTAATTTTCTATAGCAGGGGATGTATTTTATCATCTTTAAACAGGATCATGCTTTCCAGTACCTTCAGTCACTGATTTTTCGGGTACTATGGTCATGTAAAGATATTCAAGATAACAAAAACATCACACAGTGATTCTCCCCACCCCTCAAACGAGCAAACAGCAGAGTGATCTCTTGCTGCTATGCTGAAAAAAATAAGATACCAGCTACAGCTGTGGATTTGCAGGTGCACAGGCAGAGATGAATTCAAAAGAGATTAAGAAATACAGATAAAATGCTGGTTTATTCCAGAAAATTCACCTGCTTCACTGAGGTGGGAAGCAAAAGCTGGAAAAAACTAGAAGTTGTTATAAGCATAGCACTGAATCATTACCCCAGATGGAGACTTCATATGGAAAGACAGGGGTCTCTGTGTATGCAGTTTTTAAAAGGTCATATCCCACTGCAACACTTTCAGGGTCTACAAACCAACAGTCCCAAACACATGGATTTACTCAGTTGTAAGACCTGTGCGTGTTGTATTTCTCCTACAATACCAAAGATAATCTTTAGTATTCCTAATTTTCAATTAAATACTCAATTTTCAATATGCCTAAGATTTCTGTATTCATAACTGCTTTGTGTCTGGCTCCAATGAAGTGATTTCCTGTCTGTCTCTGAGGTACTCTGGCTGTGAATGGAGCCTTGCAGGGTGGGGCTGCTGGATGATGCTGGTTTCTTTGCCACAGCTGTGTATTGCTCTGGAATGGAGTTTCTGGGAGCAAAGTGGAACAAAGGACAGCTTTTTTGGTTTTATACAAGCACCATGTCACTTTGAAGAGTCATGAGGAACAAGGTGGTTTATGGAAAATGCTCTTGAGTATTTAATTCTCAGATGAGGTAAATAATTTTCTTGTGCTCAGGTTGAGAAATTGAAATTATAAGATTCAATGCCTGTCATTCCATGGAAGAATGCTAATGTTTGAATTTGAATGTTTTTCCAAAACATTTTCATTTGAATGCTCTCCTTGTTTGAATTGCCCAGTAGTCACTTTTTGATGATCCATTTGTCTCTTTTAAAATCTGAAAAGCAGAGAAAAACCATTTCCAGCACCTCGAAGACTTTCCACAAGAACCATTAATTATTCAGAACTTTCCACAAGATGCATTAATTATTCAGGCATTTATTTACTATGTGGACTTGTAACAGTTTTGGTTTTTCATAGAGATGTTTATTATTGCTGTCATTTCCTTTGATGGGTATGGATGAATGTTTTAAATGCCTGTGTAATACAGGGTGCTGGCCAGTATCAGTATATCGCATTTGCAGGGTGAGGTGTGGCAACAAGTAGTAGGAAGTTGGAGTAGCTGTGTTGGTGTGGTTTACCTAAGAGATGTATTTCCCTGTATTTCCCTAGAGCTCAAGCAGTCATTCTGCTTTAAGGAAAAAAAACTCTGCTCTTCATTTGTGGATCAGTAAAGTCACTCTTGCTGCTAAAGGCATATGATGCTTCTTATTTGTTCTGCAAAGCGACCCAGAAAATTTAATCTGTGTTATGCACAAAACAGTGGAAATAGGAGTGTGCAGAAATTAATAACTCTGTTCTTAGCAGAATTCGAGCTAGGAAGGTGGCTTGGTATGAAAACATCTGGAAATCAGTTTTATTAATAGAATAAAGATTATGATTTAGAGATGTATGTGTAGATTATTTTTTTTTTAAAGGAACATGCAGGGAAATTTTCCAGAACTCACTGTGAGACAACTTTGACAAAAATATTTTCTGGCAACGTTTTTTAACAACCCGTGGTGCTGGTTGTGTTTCCAAATGTTTGTGGCTCCTGATGTGCCCATGTCCCTGAGACCCCCATGCATCTGACTGCTGCATCTTCCCCAGGTGTGAAATTACACATCTGTGCATGCACATGCTCCTGTGGCGATGAAACTGGTCTTAACCCCCAAGCCTTGGAACCTCCTTTTTGACAACACCCCCCTCAGTTTTGAAGATCTTAAGCTCTCTTGAGGCATTGATACTCATCTGACGTTATATTTTTTGTTTGTTTATTGCATATTAGAGGTAACAAACACTGTCAGGCAATAGCAGCTTGTTCATTGTAGACAATGAGCAGAGCCACCGTTGTGGTCCCACTGCTTGAGAAGCAGGTGTCATAGAAATCTCTGTTTTGTTGACTTGTGAGACTGTTTTCCTGCAGAATTTCCTTCTATCTCACACGAATATTTTGTTTTGAAACTTTGGCACTTCCCCCTTGTGTGCTAGTTTTGTGCAGCAGTAATGGAACCGAGAGCCAAGAGAGACTGTGAGTGGCAAATGGGCTTCCTAATGAGGAAGGAGTAATTGGGTAGATCTTGAAAAAAAACCCCATAATTGTGAATGCGTCTGTAATTTTGTTTGAACTTCAGAACTGAACTCTTAATTATGTTTTGCAGGATATGAATGATTATGCTCCAGTATTTAGCAAAAAGCTCTACAGGGGGATGGTTGCTCCCAATGCAGTCAAGGGCACTGTTATCACCACCGTTTCAGCTGAGGATCAAGATCCTCCGGTAAGCAAAAAGGTTCTATTCATACTCTGCACCCAAGAGGGAAAAATCTTTAACCCTCAGAAGTGACCTAACTCTCTCAACAGCAAAGGTGATTATTATGAGTTTTACAGAGCAGTAACTCATACATTTTTATTATTTTTTATGTCAGCCTGTCCTTTGTTGTTCTGGACAGAGGCTGCATTTACAATGAGTGTTCCTGAAGCTGGAAAATCAGTGATACAGCTCCTTTCAGTCTGGAAGATTTTTTGGAAAGCTCTTTATCTGACTTCACAAATGAATAAGAAGAATAGGCAGGAGGGGAAGCCATGCCTGTCTTTGGTCCAGTTCTGCAGCTTAAAGAAGAAACAAACCACAACTTTGTAAGATTTTAGCTTTCTTGATTTCACAGCCATTGTATATTTCCAGTCTGACACATCACAGGGTCACCTGGAGGTGTCCAGCTCACCAGCCAGCCCTGTTGGATGTGTAGGGTTTGAACCAGTGCACCTGTTTGGGGGATAAGGTTGTTTTTTGCCACTGGCCTTTATAACTCTGCCTTGGTAAAACACTTGATTGACAGAACTGGGCACATATTTTTGACTTGTTAGCTATTCTGAAGGGTAATATCAATTTTTGTGACCAGAGGTTGATCAACATTGGTGACCAGATGATACACTGAGGACAATGAGAACCAAAGATGTTCTGTCAGCCAGCTTTAATTTTTAATTGCTAGTGTTTGACATAATAAGGAGAATAATCCTCAGGGACATGAGTTCAGGGAGAATGTGCCATGCACATTAAGAACTGATGGCAATGATTTGACACAAATCAACTGTAGCTCAGCTAAATATGCACCACAGTAATTTATTTACCACCAAAGGACAGAAATGTTAAAGCAGGACAGTCCTGCTGTCCTCTTCTGTAAGTCCTAACACATTAATATAAATAACTTCCCCCCAGGTGATGACATAGTAGTGGGGTGTTATTGACCTTGGAGGAACTGAAGGTAGTTTGTAACAGCTGAAGATCTGGACTGTTGTTATTTTAAAGTGTATGAAAGTGAGAAATACCATCAAGTAGGTGACAAAGAGCAGTTGTTAGTGCTTAGGGAATGTGGCAGCAAAGGACACCGATGTTATTTGAGCAGTGAATGAAATGCAGTGATGTGCCTTCATGGCTGGCCCTGGACAATTGAAGGGGAGTGTGAGAGACATTGGTGCCTGGTTTTGAGCGCTCTGCTTGGAGAATGGAGCCTCAGGTGGGTGTTCAGCTCCTTCCATGGATCACAGGCACTTAAGAATGGGGCCCTAGCCAGCCAACAGGTTAATCACAGATCTGCTTAATTCCAAGCAGAATAGTCAGCACATGTATGCATTAGACTGATCAGCAGAGGCAAGTGGGAATTCCTGGTGTCTTGCTTTAGAGATGCTTTGAAAATGCATCACCTAGGACCACTGTCCTCATGGCAGGCACCTACACTCTCCTTCAGAGACACATCTGGGTATATTTATAGCTTTCAGCATGCAGCAGGAGAAAGCTGGAGTGGTGGTAGTGCCTGGCTCTCCTCTCCTCGCCTCTTGTTATGAGAAGCCTTTCTGGGATGCTAGAGGCTTAGGCTGCCTTCCCTCCCTTAACGGATGGACTCAAACCTTTAGCTCTGTTTCCATGTAATACATCTTAACTACCAGGAAAGAGGCTGCTGAGCTGGAGAGGATTCTCTGTGGCTCTTCCTAGGAATGATTTGGGAAAGCAGGGAGGTAGGAAGCACAGTATTGATATATGTATTTTATCAGTTCAGAGAAAGAAATATATATCTCTTCATAAAATAATTGTGGCTTTAAAAGATGCCTGATGATGAGGGCAGGTCTAATAAAAGCATAACTAATTTCAAGTATCTAAGCCTGAATTTTTCTGCTGTCATTTGACAAGTAATGCAGACTATTCCCCTGTCAACATTCAACTCTTGCCCAGAATAAAAGCTAAATTTTTTTCATCATCTGCAATAAAAGCTTTTCAGACCTAATCAGCCCTTCAGAGACTGCCCACTGTATTCAGCAAATCCCAGCTTTGCTCTGCACTGTCAAATTAATGTGGATGGTATGAGACTCCAAATTGAAATGCTCAGCACCTTCCTGTGATTTCTCTGCAGATAAGGCAAATTTGAGTTTTGCAACAGCAGGAAAATGGGTTTGGTGTAGGAGGGAGGTGGTGAATGCTGTTGTCCTGTTATTCCTCCTAGTCTCTCAACAGCAAAGGTGACAGCAACAGTGATGGACACCTAAGTGGTAGAAAAAAATTTCATACCACTGAAGTCAGCCTTAATAAATCATAATCTGTAGCAAAGGCTGCAGGTATTTTCCCTACTGTGTTACTTTTTGGCTGTGGAAGGGCTCATTCAATGTTGTTCCTGGGAATAGATCATTTGGCTGTGGCTTTTGACTTCTAAAGGACAAGTGCAACATGCAAGCGCTAGATGGTCAGTGAAGACAATGTGGGTACAAAAAGAAATAAGACATGAAAGATGAGATTGGAAGAGGCTGGTTTACAGTAGCAGTGTTTTTCCTAAGTGATCTACAGACTTTTAACATACACATATTAAAGTGTTGTGAGTGAGTACGATACACTTCCAAAAAGCAGCCACAAGGAGTAAGATGAGTAATTGCTTCTTAAATTAAGCACTGTTTGATTGATGTATTGGAGGTGTAGATTAAAGGCTATCTTTTTGCTTTCCTTGAAAACACTTCTCCATCAAATCTCCATGCAGTAAATTACTTGCAGGTTGGTGTAACTTAGTATATGAATGTGGATGTCTGTGACTGAATGACTCAGTGAATCAGCAGG